GTATTTATTAGGCGAGGAGCCTGTAACGATGCCGAATGAAAATGAAATATGTACATAACGTAAATATGTTAACATAAGATGTTAACGCCTCGATCCTAGTAAATGAAAGCTTTATTTGTTTTATTCGAGGTAATTCGTATACTTGTTGTATTTATTTATGTATTCCATTTTTTTTCCGAAAGGGAAATAAGTTGATCGATTTGAAAAGCTTGTAGCTATATACTGTTACCTACTTTCAAGTGTATCCGGCAATATTTAATCATAAATAGACGTTAGTTCCTTATAGACGTAGTTCTGCGACAAAGATTTCATACGTTTCTCGAGATGACACCGGAGTTTGAAGCTCGAAAACGCGAAAGTCGCCGCGATTTTAATCAAACTATTTCCTTACCAGTAACGAGTCTGCCCTGTTTGCGTTGTTACTAGACCTATCGTTAAGTTAAGATTAGAGTATCGAAGGATATTGTCCGCTCGTGGCGATTTTTTCAAATATTCTCTTAATCTCTCTGCCAAAGTTTGGAGAGTTTATTCTTTTATACTTCTTGTTGATTTTTAGATTGAATAGTACAAGTCTGTGCGACGACGTCGTGTCAAAAATAAAACAACGAACGATCGTTTCTTATGAAATATTATAGTATTTTAAAAATTGAAATAATTTTTATACGCTTTGTTTAAACCTGCGTCGAACAAATGAGTGAAGTTGATTCGCGAACGGTTCTTCAACTCGGGCTAAGATTTACATGACTTTTTCAAATTTTTCTTTTATCCTTTCATTTATTTTTGTAGTATTTTTTTCCAGCGTAATCAAATATAAAAATATCGAATTGTTTTGAATCAATTATAATAATAATTTTATTATTTTGTAAATATATTTATGTTTAGCTTGTAATAAACACCGGTTTTAATTTGCATTAGACGATTCGAGGTACGAAGACAAAAATTAAACGCCGAGATTTAGTGTGGTTGTTAGATTGGTATAATAAGTAAATACATTTATAATTGTTGCTATGGTGAACAGTGTTATTTTAGTTTTTATACAGCAACATGCCTATTTGGTGGAGATCAGGTTGATATTTTTGCATTTATTATATTTTTAATTAAAAGGTTTTAGCATTTGAAGTCTCGCTTACTACTATTCGAACAACTCTGTTAATTTTATCACGCCATAGGTCTGCTACGACCTGAATGGTCAGTATCCATCGACTCTACCGAATATTTGAGGACAAATGAGGATTTATTATGCATATAAAATGGGACAGAGAATCATGTGAATTGTATACAGGATTTGAATACTTTTTATTCTTTTTTATTTTAATTGTTGTAAATAATTATATTTACTTAAATTTATGAACAATTTTACGTTCGTTATTACGTCACTGTGTGCTACTTTCAAGTTCAACTGGTCACAGAGTCAGCTAAATTTTATTCGATTAACGGGTAACAAATAAGACGCGAAATAACAAAGTAGACGCGAGCAATTGAGAATGGTTTCCGTATTTAATTTCTGCTCTGCTTCCTAAACGTCGCTCGTCCACTGAGAGCACTGGCGATATTTCCGAAACTCGCAATTCGAAACATATGAACCAGTTATCTCGTATTCTAATCTCGATGTAAAAATAATGGTGAATGCAATTGCCTGAAAGGAAGAAATAGTAATAGATTATGTTATATATAGATCGTTCGAAGAGATATCGCCAACACATTCTTTTTGGACATACCGTATTGATATTGAGAATTGTAGAAAGGTAGAACGGAATAAGCTTCCGGCTGGACCATTGGGAGGAGGTTCGATTTTCGATTGTAGGAGAGACGATTCCCTCTGCCCCTTGCGTGCGCGTGTCCCTGTGTTTGCGTGCGTGCGTGCGTGCGTGCCTCGTGCTTGTTTCTCACGCGTCTCTGCTGCACGCAAGGATTCTCGTGCCCGCGCGCGTGCCTGCGTATGTGTATGTGTATGTTTTCAATGTCAAAGGTACCTGAATGGACTGATAACTATATACCGATGAGAGAAAGAATGTTTATTATTCATTGCACAATATTTTTTCCCGATGTTCTCAAGTGTAATATCAACTAAATACAACTAAATAGAACGCCCTCAGACCCTCGGTCTTATTCAGCTACAAGACTAAAGTTCCTTTTCTAGAGATACGTACGTACGTACGTACGTACGCGCGTGATTCCCGCTCGGGATAGCGAGGAGCGGTAACGGCGCAAATCTTGCCCTAACGTTAATCTGAAATATGTAACGTGACACGTTAACTGTTAAACTTAATCGATGTACGAAGTTAAGGTCAATCTCTCTCAAGTGCCGATGCATTTCGAAGTAAATTAGAAAACGCGCGAGATTTCTCAACAACCTCCTGGAATTTGATTTTTCATCACTTTTTGCGTGCTGTTATACTATATGTAATTTCGTACGTTCTAAGTTCACCGACACACCGTGCATAACTAATTCATTCGAATCGTTCAAACTAAATAAATAATCAAACCGTTGTATTCAGAATAAAAAAAAAGACAGAAAAAAAAATATATATACATATATATATATATACGTAATTAAGAGGAAGAGAAATCAATTTTCCTACGTGAGAAACGTTAGGTTCTCGTACGGATAAATAAAGGGATCAAAACGTTTCTGGAAATTTAGTTTCGGGACTATACCACCCCGAAACGATTTCGAACAGTGAGTTGATTGTTTAAAAATCAAAAATTGTCGATGAGAACGAATACGTCTGAATTGAATAAGTATTCAAAAGAAAAAAAAAAAAATGATAAGACTTATCGTTGATAAATTGAAATTTATTTACACACGCGCAACCTTTTATCTATAGAGGTGTAAGTAGTAGTTGCATATGAAATTATCATAAAATACAAACGAGTTTCCATTAACAAGTTTGGTAAACCAAAGAGGATCGACGTTAAAAAACGTTTCGAACGAACCACTAATGAGTGCTACTGACACTGACTTTCACAGACTGAGCGACGATTACCCATCCGTAAACAAAACAGCTTCGACAAACTTTAGTTACGTTCGTTGAATGATTTGCGACGCGGCGAGAACGAGGGAAAGTAGTCTCGACCTCGACCAATAAAGGGTGGTAGGGAAGGGAAGTCGACTACGATTTTGATGTGTTCCGTCGCGGTTTTGGTGCAACAGGTTCCTATTAACGTCTCACGCGAACATCCAGTAGGTTTAAGGACACGACCGTTTGCCCGAAGACACTGTTTTATTGTATTTCTTCTGTTCGAAAATAATTTCGCGCATATTTACGTACCTAAGTCATTTTTTAATACTCTCACACCTGCCTACGCTTAACACCAAACTGCGTACATATTATAAATACGAGGATTCGACTTGAGTTTGAGATTTTGAGGCATTAACGAGTTTGCTTTATGGAAAAAAAAAGCGTTACTTTTATTTTAACACAAGTGGCATCGTTTCTCAATTCTTCTACTAAATAAAGCGAGCCACTCTATACGTAATTTTTTTAATTCGATTAAACGTGATCTAGGTTCAGTTTTATTTTTATTTTTTCGATACAAGCAAGTTTGCTATTGTTTTTCCATGGAACGATTTACCGTGGTTTTCTATAATTTTAAGGAGGCTGTTAATGTATCGCAGAGATTGTACGTGCTAATACGTTCGCAATATTAAAATCAGTTTAACAATAATCGCACGAAAACGGGAGCTTTAGTATAAGCATTGAATTGTAAAGCTTTTTAGATTTTAGGAAATCGCAGTAAAAGACGAGATCGATATTTGCTTTTTTAAAGAAATCAATACTTTTTCTATATAATTTTTCAAGATTAGGAACACGTTAATTCGTTTGGTTCGCAGCGCTTCGCGCTTGAGAAGCAATCCTATTGAACGTGTAAAATAACGGAGAGCACATCAAAATCGAAGTTGCCTACACTCAATGCTATTCCAATTTTTGTACGTTTTCAAAGAAAAATATTTTAACTCGAGCGGAAACGAAGAATATTTCCATCGCGCGTCTTCGTAATCATGTCCATTTTGTAATCAAGATACGCTTATCAAATATTTCTGAACGCGTCTGGCGCGTCCACGTCGGCCGTCGACGCGAGGGGTGTTCGCCGATCGAACAGATTCGTCATTAACGGAAGCTCCTAAAAATCGTAAACAGACTGTATCGCGTGACTAAAGTCTAAAATCTACTAAAAGTAAGCGCAAAGGCGAAAGGGGAAATAATGAATCACGAGTGTTTCACGTCGCAGCTGTACGAATCGTTACTATCTTCTTCCAACGAAACTAGTTAACGAACAAAACCGAGTTAATTTTTCCTTATCTTTCATTCGTCGAACACATTATTCTACGTTCCGGAGGACAAATGTGCATTTTCGTTAGTTCGTTCTCTGTGTTGATGGCAATTAAATCTGACGATCGAAAATACATTGAAATAGATATATAGTTTTACAACTGAAATTCCTATACATATATACTATATATTTCCAAGTACGTGCTTAATCGAATTTATAGTGATTTCAAATGTCTCAATAATATAATTTATAAATTTTATATCTTAATGCTTGAAAGAAAGCTACCTCTATGATCCATCGAAATTAGTTTATACCGATAAGCTCGTATCCAGATATTTAAGATTTCATCGCGGAACCACTCAATTATAACGATGGTCTTATTAAATGGCAACGGTAATAATAATAACGACGACAACGATGAGGGT